ACGAAAGATGAGATAAATATTTCTGAAGTGAAATTAACTAACTCTGCGACTGTTCAGATATGGAGATGAAGAATATGATTCAGAAGTTTCTTGGCAACATGACTGTAAAATGATGACATTAATGAAGATAAGGAACACAAAAGACTAGAAATCCAAGAAAGGTGCAGTTACTCCACCTGAAGTAATTTTGAAAAGAAACATTATTTAAAATTCAAATCAAATGCTTAAGAGAATTATGGCATTATGCAGCTACCCACTGCTCTTTATTTAACAAGCACATCAGAACTACAGTTCAAAGGGTTCATTTGTTTACTAAATACTACTTTACTGCCCTTAATGTGAGGGAAAAATACTCTATTATGCAGAGATGTGGCTGAAAGATCAAAAAGTGGACCCCTCCCTGGTAATGCAACAAGTTAAAGCACAGCACTACAAAGCTAGTCACAATCTCATGAACTGGAGTTTGATCTCTGGCCAGGAGGGTAACCCATATGGTGTGGCAGACCTCCCCTACCTCCCCCCAGCTGCTCCTCTCAGCAGTGTACTTTGTCAATCTGCCTGTTGTGCTCCCCACTCTGTCTCTGGTGAATCCTCTCACTACCCCTGCACCTCTGGCCTGTACCCCAGCTATATATGCATAAATAAATCTTTTTTAAAAAGTGGCCAATAATTTTCAATACTAAGTATTTTTTTTAAGTGTATTACTTTTTATTGCAGTAACCTTGGTTTTTAATAGTGTATATAATTTAGGGATGTAGGTTACACCTCTTCAGATGAATGTTACCACACCACACCAACCACACCACACCACACCTACCACACCACACCACACCTACCACACCACACCTACCACCAAAGCACTCATAGTACTCCACTGTCCACTGGGCCCCTTCCTCCCTTTGCTCTCCTCCCTTTAACCTCCCCCTCTGCTATTTTTAATTCTAGAGTCAGATTTCTAGGGTTTGTTTTTGGGTTAGTTTCATCTGTTTTTTTTTTTGGTTGTTTCTTTCTAATCCAAATGAGTGAAATGACGTAGTATTTCTTTCCAATACTGTGTATTTAAGAATACTGTGTATTAAACACTACTTTTTAAGTTTTCTTACAAAACAGTATTTTCTTAACACTGCAAGATTCTCTTTTGTTCCAAATACAATGAAAATTAAAAGTTGCTAAAAATTTACTTTCAAATATTGACTTTTTGTTCACTTCATGCTTGAAATGCCTGTATTATTTTTGCATTTGCAATTCATATCAAATATGCCCTGCATGTTTTCTACCTTTTCTTAGAAGTTTAAACGAGAGAAGTGCACTGACTATGGTGATGGCACAGGGTGATTTGGTGATGGGAAGCCCATCACCAACTGAGATGGAAGAAGGCACAAAATGATGTAAAAATAAACTATTATATTATTTTAAAAAAGTTATAATGAGGCCCTCCCTGGTGGCTCAGCGGGTTAAAGCACTGCACTGAGAAGCTAAAGCCACTTCCGCATGAGTTCAAATCCCGCCTGCCCCGGAGGTGACCACATGGTGTGGCAGACCTCTCCTGACCCGCCCGCTGCTCCCCTCAGCAGTGTACTTCATCGATCTGCCTGTTCTGCTCCCCACTCTGTCTCTGGTGAAGCCTCTCACCGCCCCTGAGCCTCTGGCCTGTACCCCAGTTCTGTATGTACAAATAAATAAGTCTTTAAAAAAAAAAAAAGTTATAATGAAAGCCTAAAAAAAAATTTAAGCAAGATAATCTAAAATAAACTAAACTCTCTCAAAAAACTGAAAAAGAAAATCTAGACTAAAAAGATAAATTGAACTAGAAGTGCAACACCTAAAAAAGCAATCTATTTCTATCAGAACAAATATAAGGAAATTGAAACAATTTAAATGTTTTGTTCCTTAAATGATCAACAACAGGATAACTTTGTGCATTATAATCAAATATCAGTGCTTTTCTTGGGTACTTGTTTAAAAGTTATCTGTCCTTCCACCTCAAGAGATACTGACCTACTAGTGTGTAGACCCAGAAAATGTTGTCTTTCAAATGTCCCTGGTGCCTCTGATGTAAATGTTTCAAGGCCACTTTAAGAAATATGTGATCGTGGGCCCTCCCTGGTGGCATAATGGGTTAAAGCACAGCACTATGAAGTTATCTTCAGTCACTGCAGCACAAATTCAATCCCTGGTCAGGCAGGTGACCCACATGGCGCAGCAGCCCTCTCCTGTCCCAAGGGCAGCTTCCCTCAGCAGTCTATTTGAGGCAATCTGTCTGTTCTGGTGTTTGGTAATCCTCCCACCCCCACACTGGGCCTGTACCCCAGTTCTTTTAGGCATAGATATATCTTTAAAAAAAAGAAGTCGTCCTGATGTCAAAAAATTTTTCAAGTTCACCTCTCTCACTGCTTTTCTGATCTGAGCAGAGATAGTTTCTGAATTTAAGATTTCTCATATATAAAGAGGGATATTAGAAGCTTCACAAGGCTCTTTCCCTGCCGCCTAGTCACATGGAGATGGAGGCTACGGTGCATTCAATATTTGACACCACCGGTAACCCACCGCCATGGCCATGGCCGAGGAAGGCATTGCTGCTGGAGTTGTAATGGCCACTAATACCACTTTGCAAGAGGTGCTAAAGACAGCCCTCATTCGCCATGGCCTAGCACGTGGAATTCGTGAAGCTGCCAAAGCCTTAGACAAGCGCCAAACCCATCTTGTGTGCTTGCATCCAATTGTGATGAGCCCCTGTATGTTAAGTTGGTATAGGACCTCTGTGCTGAACACCAAATCAACTTGATTAAGGTTGATAACAACAAAAAATGGCCAATGAGTGGGCCTTTGTAAAATTGACAGAGAGGGGAAACCCTGTAAAGTGGTTGGCTATAGTTGTGTGGTAGTTAAGGACTTTGGCAAAGAATCTCAGGCCAAGGACATCAACGTCATCGTCATCGAGGAGTACTTCAAATGCAAGAAATGAGCAAAGATTTGGCTAATCAAAAAACGAAAAACAGGGCCCTCCCTGGTGGTGCGGTGGGTTGGAGCACAGCACAAAGAGGCTTAGGTCACTTCCGCATGAATTCGATCCCCGCCTGCCCAGAAGAGATCCACATGGCACGCAGACCTCTCCTGACCCGCCCGCTGTTCCCCTCAGCAGTGTACTTCGTCGATCTGCCTGTTGTATCCCACTCTGTCTCTGGTAAATTCCTCTCACCCTCCGCATCTCTGGCCTGTACCCCAGTTCTGTACAAATAAATAAATAATAAAAAAATTAAAAAAAAAATCTTCACAAAGATGGTAAGTGTTGGTGAAATAATTCTGATACAGTGTTCAACATAATATCCAGCTATAATTACTACCATGATTCACTTAGTTCCACAGGAGAAAAACAAGAACTGGACATGTGTGCATACTCCTCATGACATTCCGACTGCTCTCACAGTAATGATTTTTTCCATTTTCATAATAAAATTTTCATCTACAAGATTCTGCAAGACTTTCTGATCAGGTATACTCATTTTCTTCCTCTTCTTTTAATTTTGTACTATATGAAAGATTTTGATACACTAGTTAATGCTTCCAGTTCCAAACAAAATCTTACGAAGGCATAATGCCATGAGCACAAATATTCATCAGAAAATACTGTACTTTCCACATCAACATACTTAATCATTCCGATAACATCAGTTAAATTTTACACAGAGCAAACTGTGTTTTCTTTTCCTGGTAAGCAGAAAAAAAAAAAAAAGACACAAAGTTGTCATCTAAAGAAGATGATCCTATGCTGAATATTTAAAAGCCAGTTTCTTATGCTGTAATCAACCTGTCTCATTTCACACTGGTTTCCTCAATGTTAAAATCCAAAATACAACTTGTAAGTGGTCACAACTCCACTATCTTATATAAGTAGAATCAGGGACATTTACACAGTTTTAAAATTCATTAGAAATTAAAATTTTTAGATACAACCAGAAATACTATACTTTGCACCAACCTAAAGTACTAAATGATGTTTTCGAGTAAACTGAGAAATGAATTATAACACCATTTACAAAAGAAAAGTATGTAGCCCCCTCTGCATCTTTCTTACCATTGAAAGCTTTATACAGGTCATTAGTTACTACTATCTCATCTCTTATTAAAAAACAGTAATATCCTTTAAGCTATTACTGTAAAATATCCTGCCAAAAATCAACAAACAGATGTCTCTCACATATCCAAGATGAACTAGTAAAATCAAAACGGAAAACTAAAGCGCAGGTTGGTTAATGAGAAGGAACCATGGAGGTTTGCTGAGATGCAATAACCATATAGCAACATTTTTCAAGTGCTCACTTGAACAAGGCACTGTACAGATGACCCCCTTCAGCCAAGGCAAATGGGGAGAGTAGGAGCCCTTTCTGAAGGGGTTGCTATTGGCCTCAAAACACCACTAAGAGAACTCTCCAAGAGGACTGTTTTTAGACATTAAGTAAAGGTACTGAGGGCTACCAACGCTTTGCAAATCTGGTACGGTACTGGAGAAGCATTTAAGATTCGGCAACTGTAAAATTCTTTGTAAAAAGAATAGTACACGCCTGTACTGTATCTATTTTAGAGCGAGTCCGAGAAGTCCACAGGGAGAAAACTGCGGCGGGGTGAGGGGTTGGGGAGGGTCGCCAGAAAGATCCCGTGAAGAGGTTTTTATAGCTCCCAAAGTAGAGTAGTGGGGGGGGGGGTGTCCATCTCCTGTCTCATCTCCACTTCCCCTCCTGTACCCCGATTCCAGAGAGGGAGGAGGTCCACCTGAGATAGAGCTGGGGACGAGAAAGCGGCCGCGGGTCTCCGGGAAATCAGAACAGAGCGGCCCCGAGGGAGGAAGGGCTGCAGGAGGGCGGGGCGCGGAGCTATGAGGAAACCGAAAGGAAGACAGCGGGGAGGGGTGCCTCACGTTCGGGGACCCCTCTCAGTAACACTCCGGGGGGTTGAGGCGGAGGCAGGGTGGGTACCGCGAGCGAGAAGACGGCAGAACTTACTCCGCGGTCCTCCTCCGAGAGGAAGTCGGGGCCGTCGTCCAGGCCTTCCTGTGGGGTCGGCGACGACCCGCATGCCAGGGAAGAGGGTAGAGTAGCGGAGACAAGAAAGGAGTCATTAGTGTCAGGCCAGCGCGGCCCCCGCGCCCGCCCCGCGCCCGCCGCCCCCACCGCGCGCCCGGGTCTCAGCGCCGCTGAGAACACCCACCATCATGGCTGCTCGGAGGCGAGGGACGGCGCAGGCGCGCACTGCATCGCGGGCCGGAGGGAGTAGGTGGTAGCGGGAGTGGGCGGGGCCTCGGCTCGGCTCGGCCCCGCCCCGCCCCGTCGCGGCTCGGAGGGCCTGGGTCGGCAAGCGCGAGGATCGCGGGCTCGCAGACCAAGGTCGAGGCACCCAACTTAGAGAGGGCAGGAAGGCCCAGACCACATGGCCGAGGGCAGCTGGCAGCTGACCCGCTTTGACCGGGGAAAGGCTGCTGGCCTCCGGGGAGCTGTCCAGTTCCTTTTCCTTCCTTCGGGCTGCAGTGAAAAAAAACAAGACAGCGCCCTCCGGGAACCACAATAAATCACCTTGTCTTTATATTGTGCCACAGGATAATTAATCACAATTAATATTTTGCCGGTAAGAGTTGTTGAAGCCAGGGGCCTTCACAAAGTCAGCAGTCAGGGATTGTACTATAACGTTTACTGCTGGTAAGGTAATAACTACCTCGGGTTTGGACGCTAATGATTGAGCACTATAAAAACGAGCTGTTCTTTTCCTGTATATGAAAGAATTTCCTCAGACCTACTCTAACTGACCAGAGGGATAGCATCACACAGGCTCTTCAAACAAGACAAAAGCATTTTTTAACCCCTCCCCACTTCACCGATTACACACATACACATACACAAAGTAAGCTTTTGTTCAGATCTTCAGGCCAGAAACCTCACAATCCTATTCAAATTCTTCCTTTGGTTCCTCACGCCTCACACCATTTAGTAATCAAATCCTATTCCTTCTATAACTGATTATCTGTTTTACCTCTACTCTCCTCCATTCTAAACATTCTTCCAATTTTTCTCCTAAGTCACGAATATAATGATTTTGCTACTTCCCTGTTCAATAATCTTCAGGTCTCCATTGCATAAGGGTCCAACTCCTCAGCCTGTGATTTCAGGCCTTCCACATTTGACTTCCACCCTACTTTGCCAGGCCCTCCCTCCTACCTTATTGAAGTTCTCAAAGCAATATAATTCTAACTAATATTTGCATGAAACTTGTAGACTTGATTTTGAATGAAAGGAGAACTGAAGCATAGAGGTTAAATTCTGCCCCAGGACCCTCCCTCGTGGCACAAGAGGTTAAAGCACGGCATTATGAAGTGATCCCACTGCAGGACTAGTTGGATTCCCAGCCAGGGAGTTGACCCACGTGGTGTGACAGACCTCTCCTGACCTGCCCAGCTGCTCCCCTCAGCAATGTACTTCACTTGATCTGCCTGTTCTGCTCCCCACTCTGTCTCTGGTAAGTTCTCTCACCCCGCACCTCTGGCATTGTACCCCAGTTCTTGTATACATAAATAAATCTGTAAAAATGTAAATAAATAAAATATGTTCGGTCCTAACAAGGGTTATTCTCCAATATAGAAGTAGGAATAGTGTTCTGTTTTGCTTTGGTCTGTCTTTATTTCCCAGTGGGTTGTAGTAACAACTATAGTAGTATTTTGGTTTTTTTTTTAAAGATTTATTTATATATGCATACCAGATCTGGGGTATAAGCCAGAGGTGTGGAGGTGAGAGGATTCACTAGAGACAGCATGGGGAACAGAACAGATAGCCTGAAATACACTGCTGAAAGGAGCAGTAGGCCAGAAGGGAGAGGTCTGGTAGTGGCTATGGATAGCTTGATAGTACTGAGACTTAACCAATTGTGCTACCAGGGAGGCCCTATAGTAGTGTTTGTTTTTTTTTTTCTCTTAGAGATTTATTTATTTATGCATATAGAACTGGGGTACAGGCCAGAGGTGCAGGGGCGGTGAGAGGATTCACCAGAGACAGAGTGGGGAGCAGAAAAGGCCGAATGATGAAGTACACTGCTGAGGGGTGCAACAGGTGTGCCAGGAGAGGTCTGCCATGACATGTGGATCACCTCTGGGGCTGCGGATTGAACGCATGCTGAAGTGGCTTTAGCTTCTTTGTGCTGTGCTTTAACCTGCTGCACCACTGGAGAGGCCCTGGAGTAGTGTTTTTTCTGGAAGTCATGAGGCTTCTTATAGTGTTGTCAGTAAGAATTTCCCAGTAACTTGTTGCTGATAAAAAGTACCAGTATTTCCTAAAGATTTATTTTTGGATTGAAAGTCATAACTGTAAAGTTTCATTTCCTAGGTGGAGAAATGAGTAGAGCTACAGTCAATGAGATAGACTTATGTACAACTATGGGAGGGTTATGTGTGTGTCCTGGACAAAGGTTGGGAAGAACTGCATAGGGCCACTTCAAATGCCTCTGAAGATTAACCAAGGGTTTTAAATTTCAACATTCAAGTGAAGTACAGAAATCTTGTACAGATACTGAAATTCTCAAATGCCAAAACTTTAAATCACCATTTATGAACAACAACAACAAAAAAGACAAGGTTTAAAATATGAGTAGCCAGCTAAAATTAATCAATGGACTTACAGTAAGGACTACAGTTGAAATCAATAGCTGAAAATTCACATGAACAGAAAACCCAACTTGTAATAATAAGGGTGTTCATTAACAAACACCAGAGCCTTTCTTTCTGGGCAAAGGTCTCAAGTGTCATTTTGGATGATAAAAGGGACTTATCAGTAACTGATACTAACAAAAAGTTAGTAAAAGCTAAAGGGGGGCCCTCCCTGGTGGCGCAGCAGGTTACAACACAGCACTAAGAAGCTAAAGCCACCTCAGCATGAGTTCCAGCTGCGCCCTGGGAGCTGACCCACATGGCATGGCAGACCTCTCCTGACCAGCCAGCTGCTCCCCACAGCTGTGTATTTCCATCAGTCGGCCTGTTCTGTTCCCCACTCTGTCTCTGGTGAATCCTCTCACTGCCCCTGCACCCCAGCTCTGTATGCATAAATAAATAAATCTTTTTTAAAAAAAAAGCTAAAGAGGAAATGTTAAGAAATCTCAAAAGAAATTAAGATAAGGTTTCATGTTTTTCTACTAATAAAATATGTCAAGATATTGAAGCTGAACAAACCACTCTTCTAATACTTTTAACCAAATAATCTATTTTTTAATCTTGTTTGATATACTTCCATGAGGTTATTTCAATATAAATTTTAGGAAAAAATTTTTTGACTCACAATCTTATTATTTTATGGTTTTAGATACTTGACAGTAAAATGTTGTAATTATGAATCACTGCCCAATAACATGCTTCAAAAACAAATGTAGTGGAATATTTCAAAGAACAGTAAAATTTTAGAGAGAAATGAGTAAGTTACTTTTAAATTTTGGAAATTAAAATTTGAATTTGCTTTTAACATATTTATCAAACAAAAATCAAACTTTTCCTTTGAGCTTCATCACAGACAGAGTGGGGGACAGAACAGGTGGACTGACTGAAATATACTGCTAAGGGGAGCAGTGGACAAGATAAGAGAGGTCTGCTATATGGGTCAGCTCCTTGACTGGTGATGGAACTGGTTCTGCAGTGGCTGTGGATAGCTTCATAGTGCTGAGGCTTAACCTCTTGTGTCACCAGGGAAGCCCTTAGCAAGTTTCTATAAACATGCTTTCTAAAGCCTTTGTTAAAAAAAATCACTGAATTGCACACTTTAAAAAAAGTTTTATAACATGTGGATTATATCTCAATTTTGAAAAGATTAAGGGACTTTTCTTAGAAACCTTACATGTCAGATGTTTAAGAAAGATATTCTAAAAGATCACCCCATTCTTTTCTGGAAAAAAAAAATGACCCTGTATCACATAAGAATGAGTAATTTTACAAAAATGGCTGCAGACCATTCAAGTTATTCCCAAAGTTCTCATCTTCATAATGTTTAAAAAACCTGCTTCTTCATTCATCTACTTTTATCTTTCTAGGAATATCTTAGTCCTTTAAGATCTAAGAACACTTGGGCAAAATCTGTTTTATAGATAAGACCATAGGATTAAGCCACAGGGAATATATAAGGTGGCGTCAACCTCTGTACAGATGTCCCAACAAAGGGACATCTTTGTTTCAGTTCTTGGAACAAAAAGCTTAGAAACACCCCATGACAACCTTTGGTGTTGTATCTAAAAAGTCATCAACAAATCCAAAGTCATGTGATTTTCTCTTATATTGCCTTGTAGGAGTTTAATAGTTCTATATTTAGGTTTACACGGCCCATCTTTGAGTTATTTTTGTGAAGAGTGTAAGGTCTGTGTCTAGATTATTTTTTTTGAATGTGAATGTCCAATTGTTTCAACATTTCTGAAAATTCAAACAAATTTAAATAAATTTACATGTAGGTAACACAAATGCTATAATAATACAGGATAATATGAGCTCAATCATTTCACTCAAATTTTCATTCCTGCTGTCTCTGAAGTTGCTTGGGCTTATTCAGTCTGTTCTTGGTGTTTTCCAGGAATATTATTACTCTTCTGCTCAGTTTTTCTGTCTTTTCCCTGTCTCATCTCCTCACGGGAACCTGCCTCAATTTCTTCCTTAGAAGCACCCACATAGGTTGCATGTAGACATGTATTATTGAAGGACGATAGCTAGCAGGAGCTGATGTTCCAGAGAACAACCTAAGCTGGACTTTAATATTTCTTAATTTAAAATACATTGGTTCATTCCTTCTTAAGAGAAATCACCCTGTATCTCTTACAACCAGGCTGTAGTCTCTGGTAGTTGTGCTGGGTCCCTCTCAGGGTCTCTGTTGGCCTGCAAGACACCACTGCACACACATTTAGAAAAAAAGCACCCTTCTTTGGGAGGCCTAGCATTTCACAGCTTGACTGCAGGCCTCAGCCCCAGTATCCTGACATGTTTAGCCCCCTTCCTTCCCTAGCCAACTTGTTTTCAAGCCCCAAATTCTCATTCATTTCTCATAGAGTCACTTAGCTCTTTCTTTACTGGCTGCAGTCCATTCAAGTTATTCCCAAAGGTCTCATTTTCATAATTAAATTTTAAATGGTCTCTACCATGCTAACAGTTATAACTAAGGGAGGAATAACAGGGTTATTTTTTAACATTCCCCTTGCTATATATACACCACGTTGACGTGAAAGTGTGAAGATTATGATCAAGATAACCATGAT